CGAGGCGAAAGGGATAAGAGGCAGAGGGTGGAGGCTCAAAAATGTACGATGCTGCCCTGTTGACGACACATTCCGGTCATTGGGGTGAATGGTAGCCAGTCGACTGTATCATGACGGACGGACGCAAAACTGAAAGAAAAGAAAGTCAACAGTAGCGATCTTTGTATGCTGTCTGGGCGCGCTGCTTTTCGGATGGGTATCCGCGACCCCCATCCGCCCGTTCAATGCCTGTGTGCCCGCCGTGGAATTTCTTTGGGGACTTCGTCGGGGGCACCTCAGTGCCTGATCACTTAATTGGGTTCTCGGCTTTCAAACCCTTGCAGGTTGTATTACACGTTTGGGCGTGGACGTTCGTCTGTTCCACCGGCAGCCAGCCCCACTACCTCGATGCATGCGAAGGCCCCTTTCCTCAGCACGGATGGGGTAGCCTGTTGACACCTGCTGGGTCGCTTGCCTCTCTTCTTTTCTTGCGTTCAGGCTCCCTTTCACATGCGGGGTACTGTGGCTCTAGTCATACAAAAGTACCCGAAACTTCTCTCCTAGTTCTCTACAGAGCGCCCCTCAGGCAACCTCATCTCTCTCCACTCCTCGAAACAAGACCATCGCCTCTCGCAGACTTGCTAAATCTTTGAAGATTCGAACACCAGATTTCCCTTCCATGCCCTCTCCTCCACCGCGAAGCCCCTACCGCCACCAGTCAGGCAAGCCGCAGCATTCCATCCATCTCCCCTACGCGCCATGAGAAAGGCAAGGGCCGCAAGAGGGTCCCGCGCGTCCTGATGCCTCCTTCCTGATCCCGGTGATTGGATCTAACCGACGGTTATGAACACCCAAAATGCCCCTCACTTTTCCTCAAACCTTGCCCAGCGCGTCTTCCCGTCCTATCATCCCCTCGCAAGGCCTCTTTCCCCGCTTCCAGTCCTCCTCCTCCACTCCCACCGGTCCCTTACATCCCACGCCGGGATGGCCCTCTCCTCCTCCTTCCCCGTTGCCGCCTCCCCCCCTCCCGGTGGCTCCCGCTGCAGGGTACACAGGCCCATAGCCGGCAA